TCTCTCTCTCTCTCTCTCTCTCTCTCTCTCTCTCTCTCTCTCTCTCTCTCTCTCTCTCTCTCTCTCTCTCTCTTTCTCGGGGGGGGGGCGGGCCACCTGCATGGACGATCACGCCGAACTCTGCGCCCCCCCCCCCTCTCTCTCTTGCTCGCTCGCTCCCCTACGACGCGCCAAGAAGCAAGGACCGTTCTCTTCTTTTATTTCGTTTTTTTTTTGTGTTTATAATTTTTTTTTTCTTATTGTGTGAGGTGACACCCCGTACTTGCTGGGCTCTGGCCAGGAAGCAGCGACCGGGCCTTCGCTTGGGCGACCCCCCTAAGGCTGCGGCGCGTATACGGGAAGGCCCGCGGCCGATAGCTGAGCGAGGTACTGGTGGTTTAACAAATACGGCCACAGCCACAGAAACAACAGATAACAATCCCAGTAAATCATGTCATTTTAAATGGGATGCTGGACCCGGTTTCCAGCAGGTGTCGCTCCCCACCAATAGATGGAGCAGCGTTGAAAAAAAAGAATAAAAAAAGAATAAAAAAAGAATAAAAAAAGAATAAAAAAAAGAAAAGAATAAAAACAATGGGTATTAGGTAGGGACCCCACAGGCTGGTGAATTTCGCCGCCAGCGACCGCCAAGTACTTTCGCGGACCCCACTGGTTGTAGAAAGTGGCCTGGAATCGTAAGCAAGGGCATTTCCACTCGGCCCGCGGCGTCGTCAGGCTTACGTGGACCTTGATTTTCCGCGAAAAACTGCCCACCGGGAAGACGAGCCCTCGGGGACCTCCTCCGTCGCAAGCGGGGAGCGGCTCGGGCTTGGCCAAACGGTCCACACGAATGAACCAGCGGACAACATCGTGGTCCAAATGGGAGTACCGCTTTCGATGGCTGTGGGAAGACCGTGTCGCACGCCAGGCCGTTTTCTGTCCGTTGGGGTTGGGCAACCGGGAAAGGCTTGTGCACCCCAAATTCGAATTTGAAAAGCTGCAGCAGAGGGTGGTGTATTCGGCTCAATTTTTGTGTGGCCTGTTGACGTCCGTTGCCCTTCGCCCCCATTGCCCTGTTACGTTGTTGCCATGCACGTCTGCATGCGACCCATGCGTGGCTCGGCTGCGCAGGTATGGAGGCTTGCGGGCTCAAGTTCCCCACGTGTGGAGGGTCTATTTGGAACGTTCGGGTCGGGATGTCGACGGGCTTCGTGGGGTGCTTGCAGCCAGAGCCCTGTCGTTTGCGGTAGGATTGCGATCCTTGACAACACTGCGCACGCTACGAACTACGTGAGGCGAGTTGTCGGCGAGCGGTTGCTGGCTCCCGTGGTTGTGCGGCCATCTCCATCCGCTTCATGTGGTGGGGTACACGGCAGTGTCAGCATCCCGGGAGGTAGACTTTCGGACGTTGTGGCACATCTCCGATTCCGGGAAGGAGGAGTGATCCGGGGAAGCTGTTCCTCGCCTTCCACGCGTGCGATGTTCGTTTCCCTGACGCCGGTGCACAGCCGTCACCAAAGCGAGCGAGAGTCGGGGTGTTCGTGTTGTCCTTGTTGGTGTGCACGCAGACGCTTGCCCCCATCCTTGTCTGATGCCCTTCCGCCGAATTGGCGTTACAATGCATCTCCATCGACGTTGCTTTTAGCTTTTGTGTTCTTTGTTGTTGGTGTGTTCGTCGCCATCTTCCTGACGTTCGTGGTTGTTGTTGTGCTCGTACTGGCTTCCCTGTGTGTCCTTCTGCATCGTAAGCGGAGGTGAAGCCCGTGGTGGTAGCCTTGTCCGAAGTGACAACATCATGGATGGCCGCGGATGGGCGTCGGACACGCCCGTGTCGGGAGGGCAAGGAAGCCGGTTTCCGAGGTACATGCGGAATGAGAACCTCGGTTTTGAAGCCGAACTCTCCATGGGACTGTCTTCTATGACATCGGACCCCGAGAACTGGATTCGTCCTGGGCAGCGGGGCCGCAGACATCCATGCACAGTCGCTTCCCGGGCACGTACACATCTGGCATGGACGGCTCGACGAGACTTGTCACAGACCCTGCTCCACGTGCTCATCCTTTAGCTTCGCCAGCGGTGGGTGGACCTGCATGTGGTCCCGTTCACACAACGCGGATCCAGGGCGGTCCTCATCCTCAAGCCTTCCAAGGCGCCTCCTGTACGCCTCCCCCGGCTCCCGCGTGTATGCTGCCGCCTTCGGTCGACCGCTTACGGACCGCGGCTGTGGAGAGGGCGTGGTCGAACGTCCGCAATGTTGGGGGTGGTGTCGTCGAAGATGTGGGAGGGGTGCGGCAGGTCGTCGATGCGCCCCCTTCACCTATGGATCAAGGTGAAAGGGACGACCGACGCGGGGGTGAGGACGCACGTCCGGCGGTAGCGGATGTTCGTGTAGGACAACAAGGCTCGTCAATCGGGAATGGCAACCGCGGTGGACGTGTGGCGGAGAGTGCCAGTGACGTGGACACAAGTGACGACACTGCACGGGCGGATGGAGGCGGTGCACCTGCGAAGAGGCGAACCAGGCCATGGCCGCTCGAGGAACGCCTCGATCTAGCGAGGTTCATGAAGGAAGATGATGCAATGATGACAATGGCGTCTGGTCGACTGAAGCACGCCAGACGGTCGGTGAGGAACGAGTGGGTGTCAAGGAAGATGAGGGAGGCTGGGTGGATAAGGTCTGCGGAGGACTGCAGGAAGAAGTGGTCTGACCTCATGGGCAAGATGAGGGAGGCTGGGTGATAAGCGCGCAAGCAAACTTCTGCTCCGCTGGCAACGGCTGCCTCCAATTCGTCGTTGCTCGCTGTATATGGGGTCCGATACGCTGCAGAATGTCGTTGAACACAGGACGCGGCAGCCTGCAGAATCTCCTGAACACCTTCTCATGTTGCTCCCCTTCGCGCTGCAGGTCCTCCCACACACCGCCGCTCCTTTCAAGCACCCACACTCTCCTCCTGCCCCGCATGCGATCCTCTACACCGGCCGCCAACGCGGACAACATGGAAAGGCTGTGGCAAACGACGCCGCACAGCATCGTCATGGACATCGCCAATTCGCTGTCGCGCAGTGGCAATAGAGAAGCCGCRTCAAGGACGGCCATGGCGGCCACATTACGACGACTCACCCACTGCATGACAGCCACGACGACAAACAACAATCTATCTTCCCACTGCTCGTCCATGACTCTTCTTCACAYGACAGCACACCGTCCCTATCYTGTCTTCCCCAAYACACCACTACCTCCTTTTCCTTGATTCGGCGATGGCACAGCGGATGCTGACACRAATAGCCAACGRCAAATCGCACAGTCGGKCACAGCACAGCGGGACAGCAACYKCGACCCTTTTAAAAATGTGGCCGTTCGRACACCCCGCAGTCGCGCACCCTGTGCCGTTCACAGTGCAGCGTCACCCAACCCGTCGCACATTGGAGCAGCAGGAACGGTCCGGGGGCCTTTGCGCCTGGACCCAGGAACACAACCAGACGGACCTGCTTTCCTATTCGGGAGACCTCGGGGTCGACTTTCCTACTGGGGAAACCGCGGGGCCCGCAGCAGCACATTTTCGCGGTGGCGGTGGGGTCCCGTCTTTTGATCGCTCTCCGGCCAGCGGCCTTCCGCCACCGACTTCCGCCAGCCCGCTTTCCAGGCCGCCAGCCTGTGGGGTCCCTCCCTTATACTGTTCTCTCCCAAACTCGAACTCCACGCTCTCTGAGGGCTGGGGGTATGTAGCTTTGGTCTGCAAAGGTGCTATCATGCAGGTAATTTGGAAAGCAAGGAATTCGGCGGTATTCAAGAACGAGGTAATTAGCATTAATCACCAAGGGCAACTTTGAGAAATAACCTTTTCCAGGGAAAGTTGAATGGTACATGCGTGCGTTTTGTTCGGGGAAAGCCTGTAGTCACCCCCCTATCTACCGGTAGTCCGCCGTCTTGCATCTCGTTCCGTGTGCATCTACGGCCATTTTTATTCCTTGGGGCCTCGGTCCACTACGCAGACGGAATGGATCTTCCTTGAGAACATGGTAAGAAGGTACGCCTCCATAGGTTTTGTCTTTTGTGCATCTGGTGAGCAGTGGAGCAAGGTCCACCACCACAGGCGGGCGGCGAAGCCGCGCTTTCCTAGGCCGGTAATGTTCCTTTTTCAGAATTACTTTGTTCTGTTCATTTCATCTGATTGCGACCGGATTCGAACTTCGACCTCGATTTCCGCAGTTCAACGGTGTACCAGCTTCAGCTACCGTAGGCCCGTTGGTCTTGTCCCCTTTTTGTTTCCTTTTTTTTTTTTTTTTTCCCCCCTTCGTTTTCCCGCTTGTTTTTTGGGTCCCCTGACGCGCGCGTACTTCGTGTCGCCAGCGGAACAGCCCTCAACAGGACACACAGGGCCTCGCCACACCACTGTCGAAAGGTGAAAACGACAAAAAAGTGGCTGGCGCATCTGGCCATGTTCTAGCTTGAGGGTTCATTCTCCTTTAGAGTGGAGTGGCGATGCCCCATAATTGCTGACTGATGAGAGGAATTCCCTGCCTGCACGTTTACGTTGAGTATGCGGCCGAGGTCGGGATGGTCGGGATGGTCCGGATGGTTCTGCTGTTATGTATAAGCTCGCGGTTCTCTGCTTTATCTTCTTTGCCCCTTCTCGTGGTCAGTTGCGCAGGTGGGATCTTTCGCCGCCGCAGCGCGTAAGGGCCTCGCCACACCACTCTCGAAATGTGAAAAAGACAAAAATGTGGCGGGGGCATCTGGTCGTGTTCTAGCGGGAAGTTCATTCCCATTTTGCAAATTTCGTCGAGAGTGGTCTGGCGATGCCCCAAGTCACCTGTTGTGGGCGGATGAGGTTTCGAGGGAGGGACGTCTGCACCAGCGCCGCATTTCCTCGGTCGTGCTGCACTGTTGGTGTGGTGTGCTATGCTGTGCCCCTTCATTCGTTCACGATTCGTGCGGTCATTCATCCAGTCATTTATTATTATTCAATACTTCAAATTGTTTAACCTTTTTGGCGGTCTCATTTTGCCTTTTCGGCGCACTTTCGTTGGTTCTCGCTCTCGGTCAGTCCGTCTCCTCCCTGAGGGAGGTGGGGTGTGTGTGTGTGTGTGTGTGTGTGTGTGGGCGCGCTCGCTGTGTCCAGTTCAAGCGTAGGGAGTGTATGGTGGGTTCTTGATAATAACCCCGTATATTATTTGTATATAATATAATATAATGTAATTAATTATTATATTTTATTTGTATTATACCCTGTCTATGTATACTTTGAAAGATTATTCCACCCTGTCTATGTATGCTTTGAAAGATTTTTTGCCGTCGAGCGAACGATCCGATGAGACGCAGCTGGTGCTGATTGGAGTGACCGTTTCACCACCCGAGGGGTTCGCCCGAATCTGGTCGTATGCGCGGTCAGATGCACTCTTCTGAGTGCGTGCGACTCCGCCGCCCCTAGTCTAGTCATCAACCAGTTCCCGGCTTGCGAAGTGGAAGTAGGATGAGCAGGATGAGAGGAGAGGAGAGGAGGAGGAGGAGGAGTAACAACAGCTCGCACCATCAGGAAGATAGTGCACAGGCAACCGGACTGACTGATGAGTAGGTTGTCCCTTTTGTCTTGCTGAAGCGTGGGGAGAGCAAGGACACAAGAGTCACAGAGAGAGAGAGAGAGAGAGAGAGAGAGAGAGAGAGAGAGAGAGAGAGAGAGAGAGAGAGCAGTACCGTTCATAAATAAATGGAGGGAGGAGAAATATTGCCAGCGATTCGGGCGCGAAGGGAGCCATAGCAAAATTATCTAGCTCTGAGACGAGGAAGACGGCAGAAGGGCCAAAGGCTATAGCCGAAACTTCTGTTCCGCAATTGTACATCGCCGCCACGTGGGTCGTCCACGTGTCATCCTTAGCAGCGTGCAAGAAGCCATCGCCGCGGAAACGCGTAGCGGAGCCTGCGTGTGTTTTATCTTTCCGGCCCGTTGTTTCCATTCTGTTGTCCTTTTTCTTCTTTGGTTAAGAGTGGATTTGATTAGATTAACATTAGATTAGATTAGATTATAGATTAGACTAGATAGATTTGCCTTTTCTGCTTATGCGGGCTTCCTCGGTGTGTAGTCATATGCTTGTCTCAAAGACTTAAGCTATGCACGTCTAATAAGTGTAGTGTGAACACTCTGCAAGAGCTTCGTCGGTCTCGTTTCCGAGCCTGTGTAATACCAGCGTGTTATTACTCGGTAGTCGATCAGCCTCTTTTTCTCTCTCTTTTCGTTCTCTTTTCCCTCTTCTCCCTCTGGAATACAGCCTTATTTCCCTCTACTGCTGACGGTTTTTGGGTTGTCCTCCTCCTTTCCCTTCCCCCCCCCCCTCCCTCGTGCTTATTTTTTTGTTTTTTTTCTGCTGATTCCTGTTAGTATTTTTTTTTTTTACCGTTACAAGTATCAACCGGCCGGGAACAGTTTTTACCTCCCTGTACCTGACATAACAATCCTACTATCTCCTGTTCCCTTAATGTTCACATTTCTTTTCTTTTAAAATAATAGAATTATTATTATAATATAAAGAATAATATAAATAATAATATAAATAATAAACTATTGTACAGATCATTGTATATTAGTACTATACCCCCTTTCCCATCCCGCCCTCTTAATCCGGCCCAGTCGGGACTCGCTCGTTTCGGAAGAGAGATTTTTCGAAGTTATGCCCTTTTTTTTTTTTTCTGTAAACAATTCCGTCCGGAGATTAATTAGAACGGCTTTGTGATTTTTTTTTTTTTTTTTTTGGATTTTTCTGAATTTTGCGTTCTCGATGAATAAAATACAGTAAGTATCGTCTGACAGGGGACAAAGGCTGCAGTGTAAATATGTACAAGTCGGTCTTTGGGCTTTTGCGCGGTTTGGGCTCTCGCTTCTTTTGCGTGGGCGCGATTGTTGATTGTTGATTGCCCCTTCTGTTTCGCGGAGGGGTGAACGAACTCCTTGACTCAAACCGCCCCCTTGGGAGAGTCGCGACTCTTGTTGGGAAGGGAGGGGAGGGGTTGAACGGGCAATTTGATTGGATGTTATATCATGTGATGAGGCAAACGGTACAAGGTATGTAATCAGAAGCAGGGGTCACAGATATTAACGTGGAGGAGGGAGAAAGGGGAGGGGAGAGGGGGGGGGGAGTTGTAATTAACGGGGAGCTAGGAGGAGAGAGAGGGAGTGGTCAGGGTGTGGAGAGGGGGAGAAGTAGAGGAAGGTTGCACGGAAATGCACAATTTTTGTTATGAGCAATTTCGAGCAAACTGATGATTAGTTTTGGGCAGGCTTGCGGGACGCGAAGATTAATTAAAAATAAATAATAATAATTGGTGATTGACTCGGGATAGTCGAGAGCTGTCTCTTATACACATCTAGATGTGTATAAGAGACAGCCCCACAACCCCCCCGTTTGTCCCCTCTCCGGTC